GATCCCGGGTGCGCATCGAGGCACCACTTCTCCGTTCATCCTGAGGCCGAGTCCCGCATACAGCAACTAGAAGGATGTGCAGCTACGACATACAAATATCCACTGGGGCTTTGGGGGGAAAAAATAAAATAAATAAAATCTTTAAAAAAAAAAAAAAGAGATAAGGTACATTACAGCAAATTTATATGCCAGTGGGAACAACTCTCAGAGAGAAAAGGTTTTAATGCTGGAGAAAGAGGACATGTCTTTGAAAAAGCAAAAGGATATGGGATCCAGTGCACAAGAGACAGAAGAGCAGAGTAGTATCAGGACTAGTAATACTAATACAAGGTAACACTTATTAGGCACTTACTGTGTGCCAGGAACTAAATAATTTTACATAGATTAATTTACTTAATTCTTGCAACCACCTTAAGAGGAGGGTTCTATTTTTGTTTCCACTTTATAGATAAGGAAATTGAGGAATGGAGAGGTTAAATAGTAGGTGTAGGAGCCAGAACTCCACCCAGGCAGACAAACTCAAGAGCTTATGCTTTTTTTTAAGATTTTATTTATTCATTTTTTCCCCCCAAAGCCCCAGTAGATAGTTGTATGTCGTAGGTTCACATCCTTCTAGTTGCTGTACGCGGGACTCGGCCTCGGGTTGGACGGAGATGTGGTGCCTCGGGGCGCACCCGGGATCCGAACCTGGGCTGCCAGCATCAGAGCGTGCGCACTTAACCGCTAAGCCACGGAGCCGGCCCAAGAGCTTATGCTTTTAAATACTATATTATACTGCCTCAGTAGGAGCAGGGATGATGGCACCATGAAATAGAGCACAAGAGCAGTAATCAATACCTCTTCCTGAGAACAAGACCAATTAAGTGTTGCTTTTATATTTCTAGAGTCCCTGTTGTGTCCTGAGCAGGGATAAATGATGTTCCAGTTCTCTTATAGACCTGATTATATGGCTGCTGAGAATTTGTTTGCTCCTTACAAGATGACAGTACTCTTACCAGCTTGGAGTAAAGCATGACATCTACCTCCCTTGTTCTGGACACTGTAACTTAAATTACGTAACCCAGGGTTGCATCAGCTTTTCTGGAAGCCACTTGTAGTCCCATCTTCAGATCAGTCTTTTGCCCACATATGCTGTTTTCTGGACCAAAATATTTTTTATATTTATACTTACTAAATTTTGTTTGGTTATTACTCCTTTCTAGTATTGTTGAAGTCAACAAATGCCAACTTTTTGTGTGTGTGTGTGAGGAAGACCAGCCCTGAGCTAACATCTGTTGCCAGTCCTTCTCTCTTTTTTTTTTTTTGCTGAGGAAGATTGGCCCTGGGCTAACATCCATGCCCATCTTCCTCTACTTTATATGGGATGCCGCCACTGCATGGCTTGACAGGCAGTGCATTGCTGCACACCCAGGATCCAAACCTGGGAACCCTGGGCCCCTGAAGCAGAGTGCATGCACTTAACTGCTGTGCCACCAGGCCAGCCTTCCTTTTTTTTTTCTGAGGAAGATTCGTCCTGAGCTAACCTCCGTTGCCAATCTTCCTCTTTTTTTGCTTGAGGAAGATTAGCCCTGAGCTAAAATCGGTGCCAATCTTCCTCTATTTTGTATGTGGGTCTCCACCACAGCATGGCTGACGAGTGGTGTTAGTCTGCACTCGGGATCCGAACGCGCGAACCTGGACTGCCAAAGCAGAGCACGCCCAACTTAACCAGTACGCCACAAGGCCAGCCCCCCAAAAGACAACTTTTAAACATATTTAGAACAATGGTAGCATTGCTGAAATATATATGTGGCCTCCTAAAGTGACAACTCATTTAGATGTATACATTTGGATATGTTAAAAATTCAGTCACTTTCACAGAATCAACACTGTATTTGATAAGAAAGTATAAGCATACTGTCTAAAGCAGTGCTTCTGAAGCTTCAGTTATTTATGTCATATTCATGATATCTTTGTATCACCTGTATTAGCATTTATTTTTATTTATTTTTTTTATAATTTTTATTTATTGATTGATTTTTCCCCCAAAGCCCGAGTAGATAGTTGTATGTCATAGCTGCACATCCTTCTAGTTGCTGCATGTGGGATGTGGCCTCAACATGGCCGGAGAAGTGGTGGGTCGGTGCACGGCCGGGATCTGAACCCGGGCCGCCAGCAGCAGAGCTGGTGCACTTAACCACTAAGCCACGGGGCCGGCCTTGTATTAGCATTTAATATTTTTCTTTAATTTGACTCCTATTTCCCCATAGTCCAGTAGGTAGACACATTATTTTTTTTTAATGCACATTAAAACACATATATATATTTAAAAATGTTTACCCATGTGTCACCTGAAACCATTTTGAGCAGCACTAGTGATATGATATGTACCACAT